ACACAATGTGTGCAACACTTTCCACTATTTACTACAAAATAGTGCTAATTAAACRATAGAAAACAATAGAATTAGCATAATTTAGCAGTATTTAGTGGTATTTATGTTGCACAGTTTTAGTGTTTGTACTCTAGCTTCAAAACCTAAGTGAAGGTATTAAAACTGAGACCTTTTAGGTTGTCTCACTGGTGGTGATCGTGTTGTATAATCCGATTTCCAATTCCAATCACCTGACCAAATAGGCAGCTCTTATTGGACTATTAGCTCATGGATTATTAATGAGTTTTATAAGATTGTTAAAATACATTATTTCAGAATTAGTTTMTATTAGTGGGTATGTTCAGTGATGTGTACCTGGTCCTGTTGGGTGGGTGGTGAAGATGTTCTTGGAAAGTCATCTCCTTAATCTTCATAAAAACTACTGAGAGCAATCTGAAAAAAAAAAATGCTGTAATGTCAAAGTTCTCTGAAAAAAATATGTCAGCCATTAAATTGCTACAATAGTTGAAACTTGCGGCACAAATTATTAACCAAAGAACTGAACAAAGTCAAAAACTGCACTCTTCCAATTGTTGGTGTTTTTAAACAACTTATATTTTATGTTTAGATGAAAATGTTGTTCTCTGAATTCCAACTGAATGAAATAATGTTTAGCAGAGATGCAGAGAAAATAGACTCTGAACCCAAACTTTACATGAAACGTGTTTTGCTCCAGGAGTTTGTAACTTATTGAGTTCAGAACATCAAACTTACACGATTTTTACTGAATTTCAGTGACCAGAAGTTCAAGATTACATTTTACCTCTATTAAGCTTAACGTAAGCTTATATAATTATTTTYAATATTCAATCTTTATTCAATGTACTAAATCCATGAGCGCGATTTGCTTAAATCAATCACGTCATCACCCAGATACATCACGTCATCACCCAGTGACCGTGCACTAATGAGAATACATCATGCTATCACACAACGRCTGTCATCAAAATGRCMGACTCTGGTAGGTTTGCAAGTGTTGAAGAAGATGACATTTCAAAGATTATAGAGGACTCTATACCAGCTAATACAAAGCGACAGACAACATGGGGTGTTGGTGTTTGTAAAGGTAACACTAGAGATATAAAATTCAAATAATATTATGTTTTACGCTGACTTAACTGTTGTTTATTTTAAAACACACGTTCACTTGACTGTGTTTGTAGCTTTGTCAAACTAAAATGTCAAATCTGAACTGAAATTAAATGAACTATTTTGTTTGAAACTATTGTTAAATGTCTGTATTTATCTATTTTTAATTTAGAATGGTTGCACTTGAGGTACCCAAGTGAAGAATTAGAAATATTGGAAAAAGAAAAACTAGCTGAACGACTCGCAAAGTTCTATCAAGAGTTGAAAAAACGAAGGGAAAGACTACAGTCGCTCTGCTCACATCTCTATTAGAGCTGCAATAAACTGCTTCCTGACATCAGAGAAAGTCGGAAAGACCTTTTCAATAATCCCAGATCCTGTTTTCAAGATGGCTAATATGTCTTTGAATGCAAAATTAAAGAAAATCAAAGAGAGCGGCTTGTCAAAAGTAAAACATCTTCCGGCCATTCAACCAGAGGACATCAAGAAGTGCTACGAAAGCAGCGTCTTTGGAGGAGATTCGCTGTTATCATTATTACATGAAAATTGGTTTACCTTAACCTTTTCTTCTGTAGAAGAGGTCGAAAAAAACAGAGAAAGTTGACAAAAACAGTTTTGTTTTCAAAACTAACGCTAATCAAGTTGAGTACGTTGAGATGGCCGAGCAAGAAAAAACAAAAAATCATCCTGGTGGCCTAAGTGATAAAGCAGATGAAGCAGACCCAAAAATGTTTCTACAGTCCAAATACATTGTCCAGTTCAATACCTAAAGAATTCAATTCAAGTTCTCAACCCAGGAGAAGAAGCACTCTTTCAGAGACAGAAAAGAAATTTTTCTTTCAGCGACATAATCTGGTTTGAAAGATCCCCGCTCGGCGTAAACATATTGGGTACTATGATGAAAGAGATTTCTTTATCCGCCAATTTAAGCCAAATCTAGACAAACCACTGTGTGATAGCAACGACTGTCACAATGCTGGATAGAGCAGGAGTTCCAGTACACCATACAATGCAAATTTCTGGCCATCGAAATGAGAGCMGCRTGAAAGTTTACTGCAAGCGTCAAACACTGCAGCAACACCAGCAGTGTTCAGAAATCCTGGCTTCTACGGGAGCARCGACAAGTGCATTAGCTGTGAGAAATGAAAATAGTAGTCCAACTTCAACTCAAGTAAATTGTGAATTTGTAAAGGCAATTGCGCTGAATTTCAAGAAAAGTTTTGAATTTCAAAGATTAAAAAGGATTGATTATTAAAAGTTTTGTATTTCACTGAACAGCTTCGCTTCGTGCAGTATTGACAATTTCTCGTTCATTTCACAGCCAGCGCGTACGTGTATTTGCAAACAAACCACTCATTTCAGTCTCTAACCCATAAATAAATAGAGGATATTACATGGGCGCGCGGAGATACGGATTTTATCTTCGAGTGTTGAAAAGATCACGAGTGAGCGTAGCGAACGAGTGAGAGATTTTCAACACGAGAAGATAAAATTCGTATCTCCAAGCGAACATGTAATATTCTATTTATCATATAATTGTATACGAAAGCAAATTGTGTCGTAAAATAGCTTTTTTCTTTTTTTCTTACTCACTATATAGAGAAACCTCGAATGTGTTATTTTCACTAGTGAAACTAGTCAAGATATCAAGTTTACGAAATGGAGAAATATAGGTATTTCATAGATAATTATATGATAAATGTAATTATTATTCTATATTCGAATATAATGTAAAAATGAAAACTTTATATAGAAAGTTTATGAGCACCTAGCATTATGGTCACTAAAAATGAGAAGTGTGATACAGTAAAATAAGAAAACAACTGGTTGACCGAATAAAAGATGCAATCAGATAGCTTACATGGAGCTGCCAGCCACTAGACTCTAAGAAGAATTGAGCTCGCTCAGAACTGGCTCCTGTAACATCACTAAACTCAGACGTCAGTCTACTTTTATCTGCTTCATCCGCCATTTTCGCTTCAAGCACCTGAAGCCTGCGTTCCTTTTGGCCAGCTGCCTCTCTCATTCCTCTTTTGGCCGAGCAGGGGACTGCGGAAGAGTCTAGTTCTTGCTGTTGTCTAGTTCCCAAATCGATCCAGACACAGGTAACCCAGGCTAAGTATTTGTACAGTGAGATCAGAAGGATGAATATTCGATAAACACTCGAGAAGCAAAAGAAACACTTGCTACGCTCGTGTTCCTAAGCTTGCTTCTCTCGTGTTTTTCGAACTCCCACCGTGTTTAGACTGTTTATATCAGAGGACAGAGACACGCGCGCCGTTTTATATTTCTTAAATTCAGTTTTATATAAACTTTAAAATAACATATCATATTTCAGTTTTTTTATAAAGCACACTCTGATTGGCTGATGACCGTGTTTATATCAGAGAACAGCGACACGGCTTACTTGCAAAATTAGTTTTTCACTCAAAAAAACACGGTGGGAGTTGAAAATCACTCGAGAAGCAAGAGAAACACTCGCTACACTTGTGTTCCTAAGCTTGCTTCTCTCGTGTTTTTCGAACTCCCTGTTTATATCAGAGGACAGAGACACGCGCACCGTTTTATATTTCTTAAATATAAAGATTACAATAACAATATCATATTTCTATTGCTTTCTTTTCCTTTTCAATTAAAACACTTGTCATAGTTAAGAAATGTTTGTGTGCCAAAGTAGCATACCATTCAAGTTGGCCCCCACTGGTATTATATCACAAACTAGAGGAAGCTTGAAAACAACATAAGCAAATTTAATAGGTAATATCATATCCAAAAGCGACTCAAAAAGTACGATGTAAGCGCTACTTCAACCTAAAAGATATTTATTTTCGTCAAGCTTTCGGCTCACCGAGCCATTATCAAGACTGAATGAAAAAACGAAAGCTTGACGAAAATAAATATCTTTTAGGTTGAAGTAGCACTTACATCGTAATGAATAGACCAACCTACAACCATTTATTTGATCTGACTCAAAAAGGTTTTTGAAAGCAAACTAAACTCGGACTTCAGTAACAGGCTTTAAGGCTACTGATAGGATATCCTACACTAGTACATACTTCAGACAATTAATCTATTAAAATATAATTGCAAAGTTATTGTAACTATTCCCAGATTTGAGTGTTTTCCTCGGAAATTCCTTCATGATTGACTCTCCATTGTTTTTAAGCATTACAAAGTAAAGTTTGCTTGAGCAATGCTCTGAAACAACAGTAAACCCTAAACTGACTGTCATCGATATAAAAAGTTCCTTGTTAAGAAACCTTGAGTTCTCCACGCATGGAAGGGGCAATACTATGAACAATATGCCTTTTTTAAGGACAATCTTTGAGCAAAGTCTTAGCATATCACCACGGCGACGACAATCGCCTTCAAAGTTAATTACGAGACTCAGCACCACCACATCATATTGTATACGACAGGAGAGGGTTAAAAAATCTGCTTTGATGATTGAGCTATTCTGGGGGTTAAGGTCGATAGCAGTACAGTCAATCCAAGCTTTGTATTTCGTGTAGTTACAAGACAGAGCTCCGACATCAAGTAACTTTAATTTACCACCACAACCACGAATATTGTGTTCTTTTAACTTGCTCACCACCCACTTGGCGCTGTTAAAACCTCCAGAATGTTTCTCTCCGAGCTTGGAAGCTTTTTGGTAAGCATTAATRCCTCCAAGTTTGTCTATTTTAGAATTCAAATCCTTGAGTTTATACTCGCGCTCCTGTTTTGTAAGTCCCCTTGCTTTTTTTACTGATTCTTGAATTTTCACCAAAGCATGATACTTATTTATAAGGTTATTATCTTTCCTTATGTTTGAAGTCGTAAATGTAACAGGGTTTAGGTGTTTTGTTTTCTTATTTTTCGATCTTTTCTTACTTTTTCTGCTTGGTTGTGATGTTCTGTCCGCCATTGCACTTAACCAGAAGGCCGGGCTACTCAGTCCAATCCGAGCCTCGATATCGTCCTCTTGAAAAATACTCGGATCCAAGATGGTGAGTGCTGAAGATGTTTCAAAGAAATATCTTTAATAATCTTTATCATCGTTAAAGCTACTCCGTTTAAAGTATTATAAAACATTAACCAAACAACTTTTCTTTTTCCTTTAGTTTTCATATTTTTAATAATGGYTAGACTGTAGCAGCATTTACCCGATAGCTTACATGTAGTAGTCGTTGTCACATAGCATACAAGACAATCTAACCGCGAATCGAGCTCAAAATGTCGCCAGAATCATAAAATTTACTGTTATAGATGCTACATGTTATAGCATTGTCTATTAATGAAAACAACATTGCATTTTGAGGGCTACTTGTAAGTTTTTAGATGGCGTAATACGTTACACAAGTTTCTAAGTATGGAACAGAACTCTTTCCTCGTAAACGTACAATGATCAAATTAACATATCCATACAATCTAAACCTGATTCACTTACAACTTTGTATGCTTATGATATGATTCTACTGTACAACAACAAAGTATAACGTCGGCTATATCAAACCTTAAAAATACGCAGTCCAGGACTGCATGTGACTCAGGCATAGACACTAATAGGAACATAGAGATCTAGAATGGGACATAAGACAGAGTGTAATTTGAAGTCTCATTCATATTATTCGCGAAATAGAGATAAATAGAAGGTAAATAGAGAGAGATAAATAGAGTAATGATAACAAATAAYAMATAATACAAAYAGTCAAATGTCACTAAATCAATCAATGTAATAAYAAAATGAATACTATAAATGTAACTTACCTATTTGTAGTCGAAATTAAGTGTTTCATAACAATTTTGGAATGCACCGCCCGCAAATGTGACATTTTCACAACACCGAAGAGTGTTTTTCTGCGACTTTTGCTTATTGACGGTCTACTGTTATTGCCRGAAAACAGTAAAATTTTGTAACTCTCACGTGGTATACTCTCAACCAATAAGGTACTAGGAAAAGAGAACTTTGACAATTGATATATAACTARACGCATAKCTGYGTGAACTYGGGGTTCTTGTTGATAAAAATCTAGTATTGTAGTGAATCCGAAAGATTAATATTCAGCGTAAATTGTTATATYGATAAAGTTTCGSTACATTTTCGTAGTTTCTTTATATTGGTAAGTCTCGTTTACACTTGCGGATCCATGTTGCAGTGCATCAAATACGGCTAAGAGAACGAAAACACTGCTTTGCATAGGCAGGCATAGTTCATAGTACCTATAAAATCAACCTTAATTTACTTGTGGAGTTTATCTTTTGTACAATTATTGAATTAATTTTGCCATTATTATTATTTGTTGACATCTTTTCAGTTTGTAAGCTTATAATTATTTAAATCTTTGGCTGCAAGCCGCGTCCTCACTTTGATAGCAGGGGATAGCAGTCACATGGCAGGCTATAAACACAGAGCTTTTTATCTTCTCCGCTAAATAAAATACTTCCAATCATCGGTTTGTCCTTGGTAGATTTCTGTTTGTATTCCTTAGATAAGTCCTTTGTAGTTTCAGAGCCTGTATATGCTAGTTCGCGATAAGACAATTCTCGATGGACTGCGATCGATAGACAGCAAAATAAGCTTAAACTTCACTATAAGTTTTACGATAAATTCATGGTATCTCTCCAAATGCCCTTTCGTATAACGCTGAACATTTTTAGTGTGACTATACCGCGAATGGTGTTTTGGATTTGTAAGTGATTTGAGAATGTCTTTCGATCATCTCGTGTACACTCGCCACCATAAAGATAGCACATSWTAACATTCGTACCCAGTGCCTTCTAGTTTGGCCGTGATAATTTGTGAACGACAAAGACCATGACAAAGACAGCCGAAACCTAAACTCGCGGTTCCACAGCAACTCCGAGTAATAAAACATTTTGTAATATCACCTCTGACAATCTACGTGTAGATACGAGTTATATTGCCATTGGCAGCTYGATTAAATTTGCAGACACAAAGGAGAATTGGTCTTCATGTTATTTTACTGATTTGACAGATAATTATACAAATTTATTTTTAATGACATTGCTATTGCATTTAGTACTAATGTAATGCTGTTCTTCTCTCCAGAGTGACGGAACAGCAACAATCCGAACCAGAAAGTTCCTCACCAACCGACTGCTTTCTAGGAAGCAAATGGTAAGAATGTGAACCAAGTTGTCTTTCTACAGCCAGAATGCAAAACATTGAATCACTGTACATGTGCAAATATAGTACAGACCAGAACAAGTTTTCTGGGGTTTTGTGTGTAATTTGAGCAATGTTGATCTGTAATAATTCTGATTCGATTTATTTGAATTTCCAGACAGTTGCCGCAAGCACATAATTGTCTCAACTATCTTTCCACACATTGCAAGCTTTAGCTCAAAGACATTTCATCATTTCATTCATCAGAATTTCATCTTGCCACAAATACACCCTAACAATGACTATAAACACCTGGTAAAACTTTAATAGTCTTAACACAATCTTATATAGAAATATTCTAACGGCTACTAGTGTGAATTCAMTTCCAGCTAATTAAATATGCATGATGGCCTCGTTTTCGTTTGTGCAGTTGTTTGTGATAAACTACATAAGTCCCTACTTTGAGCGACAAACGGAAAAATCGAGGAGCAAATACTACAACTTATGGAATCAGTCTAACCACAAAACTAGATACTTGTAGATATTTAGATCAACCTCCAAGTATGTAAAGACTAAATCAATTCCACTTAGCAAAAACCAACAGCATTGAGGAAGAGGTTCAAGGATTGTATATGTTGTAGTTCAGGTTCAATATATTTTTGAACCAGTTTAATCTAATTTGTTCCAGTAGAAGACTTCTTGTACTG